GATGCTGACATTTATTGAACACTTATTATGTGCTGAGCTGTTTTATGAACATTCTATGTGTTCTATTGTCTAATCCTAAAAGTGTCCCTGTAAACTACATGGGCTATTATCCTGACTTTATAGGTATGGCTGTTAGATGATGAAATAACTTGTCCATGGTTATTCAGTTAGTGTCAGAAACAGTGCTGAAACCTTAACTTTGACGGTAGAGTTTTGCTTTCACCCTCTGGATAGTATTACCAGCCATACCTTTGCCAGAGGAATTGGGCATATAACTTTTCCTCTTTGTTGGTAAAATCTTGACTAGTGGAATGAAATGAGATGTCACAAAAATGTTTCCCTTCTTTTGCCTGATAAGATGTGCTACACTTTTGGTCAGAATGACAAAAGTAAAACATTTTAGGAAGACGAATGAGGTCAAAAACCAACCAGTCAACTAACCAACAAAACCAGTGTAGCTTATGCTTCTGAAGCCTTGAGCTGCAAATAAGGTCTAAATGGTATGAAATATTAAGTATGGTGGAATTAGGAGACTCTTCCTGAACAGAGGTTGGGAATTTTATAGACTTCAGAATTCATATTTATTTTTGCCAATGAGTCTTTCTCACATGTATTTAATCTGTATAATATCCACTGTAGCTAGGGAGCATGATATGAACACCCTTCCATAGATATCAGACCTCATGTCCATCCAGCTTCTTAAATCCTGGTCTGCAGAATGTTCCAAACCAAAAGAGAGAAGCTCAGTATACTCTGAAAACATTCCCTGTCCAAGAATTTAAAGCTACAGCTGTGTGGATTTGTGATGCTCTGACCTAGATTGACCATAGTGAGAATTTTCTCCTGTGGAGGACTTTTTAGATGTCTTGTAAGTATATTAAAGGAATTGTTCTCTCTAATGTATATTAAAATGACTAAGGCTTCAAAAATATTAATTACTTTTGTTTACAAGGAAGAGATCTGAGAGTGATAATTTTAGTGCCACTGACTGTTATGCCCCATAGTCTAAGTCTCTGTAAAATCATGTTTAATTTCAGGAATGTAGCTTTTGAGTGGAAAGAATATAAGTACACAACTTTAAAAAGAACGTGACAGTTCTGTTTGATATTTCAATTGTATTAGTATCAACGCTTCATTTCTCAGCAGTTACTAGAATTGGAGCAGCTGATGCAGGGGGTAATCCTGAAACTTTATTTTTGGTAAAGTTGAAACTTTCCAGAATTTTATCATTCACTTTCTTGGTTTGGTTGTCAGTCAGGTTAGTGGCGAGCTGGAGGAGAAGGAATGGTGATGTGAATCGAGGCGCTGCGTAGTCTGGGTGGTCCATGGCATTCAAGTCTCAGGAAGGAGAGGTTACAGGCAACTAATGAGATGTGCTTTTTGTCAGCCTCCTGTGCCATCTGTTTTCACTGAGGTGGCATAGCAAAAACCTCTTAGATTATGTCACTAATGTACCGCAAATATTTTCCTTTAACAATCCAGTGATTTGTACTGGAGATTGGAAAGCTACTAGGCAAATTGGTCACAGATTACTAAGTTAGTTGACAGGCTTGGCCATTCTGCTTACTTAGCTAGAATAGTAGGGATGCTTTGTAACCTTCCTATTTGGAAAAAATATAAAATTGCATCGTGCGTTTGGGGGAATCAACTAGAAGCTGACTTGACTATTTCTCTAGCTGTGTGACACCTACCACCCCTGCTCCCAGTTCTCCTAAGTCATGGGTTCTCAGCAGGAGCAGTTTTGTCCCCTGGGGGTAGAAGTTGGAGATGGCCCAAATATCTTACTCCTTTTATGTATAAAGCACAGTATAGCCGAAACTGGTTTGGCTCAGTGGATAGAGCATTGGTCTGAGAACTGAAAGGTCCCAGGTTCGATTCCGGTCAAAGGCATGTACATTGATTGCGGGCACATCCCCGGTGTGGGGTGTGCAGGAGACAGCTGGTCAATGTATCTCTCTCATCGATGTTTCTAGCTCTTTATCCTTCTCCCTTCCTTTCTGTGAAAAATTAATAAAATATATATATATTTTTAAAAAGCACAGTATATACCCAATGCATACGTAGATATACGTTGTATTTGTGGCATTAAAATTTCATGGAGTGGTAATTAGGAAAAATGTCTAAAAAGGTAAGTTATGTGGGGGAAATAATGAAAAATAATTGAAAAGCACTGCTACTGCTCTAGCCCAGTGATTTCAACCTTTTTCATCTTATGGCATACATAAACTAATTAATGAAACTGCAGCACACCAAAAAATATATCTTTTGCCAGTCTAACAAAAAAAGTGCGTATAATTTTGATTCATTCACATTGAACAGCTATTGTTATGTTGGATATTGCCTTTGTTTGTTTGTTTGTTTGTTTGTTTGGCAATCTCAGGGAAAAGAGGTCAGTGTCCCTGACTAAATAGTCAGATATTGGGTAATTTAACAATTTTTGTGGGGCACAGGCTGAAAACCACTGCTCTATCTAGATAAAGAATGGATGAGGGCATCCATATAACTTAAATAGAGAGAGGGAACGAAACAGTTACCTTAAAAGAACTGGTTGGAGTAATTATCACCACGGTAAGGAATAACAAAGCTTGGGATCAGAAGGTGTTAGACGGCCTCAGTGGGAATGGGGTGGCAGTGGATCTAAGCCCTCCCCAGTGAGTGGCTGTCTGAGTCTGTCTCTCAGGAAAATAATAAACTTGGTAAACTCTGTCTTTGATCTTCTTAAAGCCTCCTGCTTATAAAAACTCCATTTAGCTAGCTGTTTAATGGAAAAGCTTGTAATGAGCCAGTTTTCACGAAGGTGAAAATTACTGGTGATAAATTAATGTGTTATTATTTTCAGGGGCACTTGCATTTGAGCAGTGGGCCCTCCTCAGTGTGAGAAAGTAGGAGTGGCTTAGGTACTCTGACAGGCCTGCCCGTGGTTCCCACAGGGGCCTGAAGGAATGACTGCACTGGGTCTGCAGAAGCACATGCCCAGCAAGTATCACTTATAGTAAAGAGTGCCTCACAAACGCTGCATAACTCTTTTAAAAAAGGTGTGCAGGGGCATATATAATGAATAAAATATAAACAAAAAGTATTACATAATATATAATGCTTCATTATTATTACTACCTATTTTGTCAAGCCACCCATGCTAAAAGCTGCTACCTATGAGAACCCTTTTTCTGAAAAGCCAGAGAACTAAGGAGCTAGCTCCGTCAGAGGGTCACCAGACGTGAGGCGCAGTGGGAATCACCGAGGCCATTGCATAGCACAGGGACCACAGTCTGAGGGGGCCTGCAGAGAGCTTCTTGAGAGTTTGGGGGATTTGGCAGAAATTCCGTGAGTAAAACATTTGCTACAGAAATCACTGTTTTTGCTTCAAAGTGATTGTCAGAAGTGCTTGAGAATGGTTCATTGGAACTTTAAATCTATATTTTTTAAACTCGTTGGTCTACTAGAGTGTCCTTAGAAATAGGATTGACACTAGCATTTCCAAATCTTGTTTCTGACCTGAGAACGAGCCTCTCACTCTAGCCTGTTCCATCCTGTGGCAGTGACTGCTACTTCCGAGTTGCCCCTCCAGCGCCTCTGATCTTCTGTCCTTGGATGTCTAAAGAAATGCTTTCTAGATTAATTGTTGTTCATGTCCTTTTAAAAAAATATTTATTTGGTAGGGATTTATTTGGGTAAGAACAAGATGCTGAAGCCTTAAATAGTTGTGTGTGTGTGTGTGTGTGTGTTTTTTAAAAATATATATTTTATTGATTCTTTACAGAGAGGAAGGGAAACGGACAGAAAATCAGAAACATCAACGATGAGAGAGAAACATCGACCAGCCACCTTCTGCACACTCCCCATTGAGGATGTGCCCACAACTAAGGCACATGCCCTTGACTGGAATAAAACCTGGGACCCTTCAGTCCGCAGGCCGACGCTCTATCCACTGAGCCAACTCGATTTAACAGATATAATGAAATAAATGCATGAGCCCTGGTTGGTGTGGCTCAGTTGGTTGGGCGTTGTCCCATGTACCAAAGGTCACTGGTTTGATTCCTGGTCAGGGACATGCCTGGGTTGTGGGCTCAGTCCACAGTAGGGGGCGTGCAGGAGGCAGCCAATCATTTCTCTCTCCCTCCCTTTCTAAAATCAGTAAAAACATGTTTTTAAAAAGAATTAATACATGCCCTCTATAATTTTCTTTACTCTGCACAGATAGGCCAGAAATACATAGTATTTTAAGCTAGGTTACATTATAACAAATTCCATTATTAGCACTATTAAAATTAATTTAGTTTTACTTTACTTTGTTTACAGAGGGAGTAAAAGCCACATCAGAACTTAGTATTTCTTGTGAATCTCATGACTAGAGTGCAGTTTCTAAGACACAGTTTGAGCCCTGACTGGGTGGCTTAATTGATTGAAGCATTATCCCATATACCAAGAAGGTTGTGGGTCAATTCCTGGTCAGGGACTGTACCTAGGTTTTAGGTTCTATCCTTGTCAAATACAGGAGGCAACTGATGGATTTTTTTTTTTCCCTCTCAAAACAACAACAAAAACCATATGATTTGATCTTGGGTTGCCATAGGAAATTGAAAAGGCCTTTGACTATATTCCATTTGAATCCAGGTTTTATGTTGAGAGATTTATTTAAGCTTTTGTATGTTTTTCATTATTATTGCTAACTTATAAAGGTTTCTTTAAAAAGTAACTTCAATATTTAAAGCACATAATTGGATGAATTTTGACATGTATATATATGTATACAGTTATGAAACCATCACCACAATCAGGATGGTGAACCTTGCCCTCATTCCCAAAGTTTCCTTTGCCAGCATGTAACCCCACCCTACCCATCTTGTGCCCCTTACAGGTAACCACTGGTCTGCTGGTTTGCTTTCTGTCACTATAGATTAGCTTGCCTTTTTTTTTTTTTTTTTTTTTTATAGAATTTTATATAAATAGAACCATACGGTCTTTTTATTGTCTGGCAATATTGACACATATCCTTTTAGTTCCAGTTCGGACATCATTAGAGATATTCTTGAAGAGGAGGAAGCCTGGGAAGCATCACATAAGTGAGTTCTCGTAATTATTAAGTGTCCGTTTTGACTTAAGAAACTATAATTCTGCACAGCTGATTTTCAAACAAAAGAATGTTTGTGCTCTCTGATTTAAGATAGTAATCATTCATACACACACCTCCAGGTAAAGATTTCTAGTTTATTACTTGTTTCTATATATTTCTGCTTCTAAGTGGAATCTCAGTGTAATAATTCTGAATATTTGTCAGGAGTTGTTTTTCTGAAGACAAATTGTTCCAATAGTTGATTATAGTTTGGCCTTAAGCACTGGCTCGAGTCTTTAGAAATTTCTAATCCTTTTCTAGATGTTCCTAGCCATAAGATGTGTTTAGTGTAGAATAAATGCACTTTTACTTCTCCTATACCACTTATGAATCAGTCTGGGAAATGAGACTTTGGGGTGGGGGTGGGGGATTATTCCAGTTCCCGCTGGTAGGTAAGCAGGGACAAGAAACAATACATTTTCATTAATCTCCACCTACAGGAGTGACCTGTAGTATAGCAGGGAAAATACACAATAATTTCATGATCACATACCTCCCATAGGCCATTAGAATTGCCTAGCAGCATTCTATTGGGCCTGCGATCACTTCTTTGTCCTGTTCTTCACAAGGATTATTTGAAAACTCAGTTTATTTCAGCGGCTCCCCCCTCCCCCCCACCTCCCCAGCTGAATATCTGTTTTTTTATAGAGAAAGCCAAAGCCATATAGTGGGATCTTCATCTTTCCAAACATAAAAATCTGCCTGCATTTGTTTAGATTTAATCCTCATTTCCTCTTTTTATAATAAAGGGATGTCCTAACACATATTGGAGGCTAATTCCTCCCACATACAACTCTCTTGTCAGGAACTTCGCTGTGTCCCTTCTCTCAAAGGCAACTTTTCCTTCTCATCTGTAATTTTTTGTTGGGTTTCCTGTGTGCTCAAATCCTTCCCATCCTAAAACCAGCCAGCCACACAGCAGCAGACAAAACACCTCAGCCTCTCATCTCAGTCATTCTCATCCTCCAGCTGCTATTGCATCTCTCCTTCTTTTCCTAATAGATTATCTCTACTTGTAGTCTCCGTTTCCTTATTTCCCACTTACTTGTTCTTTAACATATTCAGCCAGTCCCATCATTCTGACATAGCTTTCACTCAGGCCATTGAAGATTGCCATGTTGCTAAATCCAGAGCACATTTTTAGGCCTTATCTCTCTTGATTTATTAACAGTGCTTGATACTATTGACTTCTTCACCTTTCTTTTTTTAAAATATATTTTTATTGATTTCAGAGAAGAAGGGAGAGGGAGAGAGAGATAGAAACATCAATGATGAGAGAGAATCATTGATCGGCTGCCTCCTGCATGCTCCCCACTGGGGATCAAGCCCACAACCTGGGCATGTGCCCTTGACCGGAATCAAACCCGGGACCCTTCAGTCCACAGGCTGATTCTCTATCCACAGAGCCAAACCAGCGAGGACTTCTTCATCTTTCTTAAAAACCTCTCTTCTTTGGCTTCTGAGACACAAAAAACTGTTTTCCTTTTGCTCAACTAGATCATTAATTGTTGATGTTGATCAAGATTAAATTGATCTCCTAATAAATTTATCTCTCCTGCCAGTACCTCTCTTGAGCCCCAAATACATATATCAACTCCCTACTTGATGTCTCTTCTTAGATATTTTTAAGACTCTTTAAAATCAGCAAAGCTGAACACTTGACCTTATCTACTCTCCTACACCCCCCAAAATAGTTTTTAAAGCAAAATAAAAACATGATCCTCTTCTGGTGTTCCTTTTCAGCTAATTTCTTACAAAAAAATCTGTCTTTCTTGACATCTTGTTCTATGGTGCCTCTGTGATCACTCTTACAGATTTACTTCTTAAATATCTCTAGGGTCCATTGATTTATTTCTACCCTTCTCATCACCCTAGTTCATGCTACCATTGTAGCTTGATTGGGCAATAAATTGTGTCTTAATTTGTCTATCCTTGTTTTCTGGCTTCTTTACAATCTAATCTCCATATTGCAGCTAGAGTGACCTTTGTAAAATGAAAATCTGATCACTGTTACTCATCTCTCTACTTTAAAAACAGCAGCTTCTTATTCCTTTTAGGATTGAGAAGGGACTCTTGAATATGCCTGAAAGGTCCTGCATGATCTGGTCTTCTCCAGTCTTGGGTCTTATCACACACCTGTGCTTTGCTCCTTTGATACAGGTGTCTCTCATGTCACATGCCCTCTGACCGCAGAGCCTTTGAACATGCTTGTCTCTACCCAGAATCTTCTTCTCATCGTTCTTCTCGTTTACTCTTAACCCTTCAGGCCTAAACTCGAGACCTGCTTCTCATGGAAGTCTTCTCTTTCCTTACCTTCTGGAGCATGTCCTTATGGTCCTTATGGCTGTTTGTCACTTTACATCTGTGCTCTTATTTAAGTAGCATGACAATACTGTGATGTATGGTTATTCCTTTTTATAATGTAGCTGAAGCTGAAAGAGGTAAGTCTCCAGCCCAGTGTCACTTAGCAGTAAGCGATGAGTGATGGAACTGAGAGGAGCTTAATGTGTCAAAGTCAACACTTTTAACCTATAAGCTATACTATCTTTCCAAAGGAGAGGTTTGCTATGCTATTGACATTTTGTAGTTTCATAACTGAGTGGCTAGAAAATGGAAAAATGTGGTGTATCTAAGGAATACAATATGAGTAGGTTTATCAGACTAATGAGATACTGATAGTTCAAACTAGTATTGCATGAAAGTGTGAGATTTTGGTTGCATTACTTTCAGCTAAGCATTATTTAACGTTGCATTCTGGGAGAGGAGGCCACTCCTTCAGTAATCATGTTCTTTTTTATTGGGAATCATCTTGACACCAGTGGCTGTGACAGGCTGTAGCCCAGAATTCCCGAGCCCAAGTCCATTTTTAACAATGATGACCTCTTAAAATCATTATTGATAAGAAAATTCTTAGCAAACAAACCCCATCATTTGATAATAAATGTTAAAGCTGGAAAAATGTAAGCGCTCCTCTAGTCCAGTCCCCTCATTACGTGGAGAAGGAAGCTGGGTTCCAGAGAGGTGAATTGACTAGGTCGAGGTCCACAGCTAGTTAGTGGCACTGCCAGGATCAGAATCCAGGACTCTTGATATCAGCTGAGTGCACAATAGTGTAAATAAACTTATGCTACACTGTAGCTTTATTTGTTTTTTTGGATTTTTTCTTTAGAGGAGGGGAGAGAGAAACATTGATTTTTTGTCCCATTTATTTATGCATTCATTGGTTGCTTCTTGTATGTGACCTGACTTAGAATTGAACCTGCAACCTTGGGACAATGCTCTAACTGACTGAAATACCTGGCCAGGGCTCCATATGTAGCTTTAGAGGCAGAATCAGAAAAAGTCTCCACAGCTTTACTTTTCAACAAATGTAGCAGTTTTATAAGTATCTATGTTATCCTTCTAGGCATATTTTGTTATAAATTAATATGTTAATTATATTTATCAGGGCAACCACTAAGAAATTTAAAATAGAATAAAAGAGATGCAGTGGGAGTAAAGTGGTACACTAGAAAATATTTAACACCAAAGAAGGCAGAGAATAGAGGAACCAAAAAATTGACATAAGCACTGTAGAAAACAAATAGCAAATGATATTCATAAATCCTGCCTTGTCAGTAAATACACGAAGCATAAACGGATTAAATGTTCTATTAAAAGGCAGAGATTGGCCCTAGCCGGTTTGGCTCAGTGAATAGAGCATCGGCCTGTGGACTGAAGGGTCCCAGGTTCAATTCCAGTCAAGGGCATGCACCTTGGTTGTGGGCTCATCCCCAGTAGGGGGTGTGCAGGAAGCAGCTGATCGATGTTTTTCTCTCATGGAAATGGAAAAATGTGGTTTATCTAAGGAACACAACATGAAATATTTGATGGTTCAAACTAGTGTTGCATGAAACTATGAGATTTTGGTTGCATTACTTTCAGCTAAGTATTATTTCACTTTGCATTCTGGGAGGGGATTACTTTTGCATTCTGGGAGAGGATTACTTTTTCTAATCTATCCCTATCTTTTCCTCGGTGAAAAATCAGTGTGTGTGTGTGTGTGTGTGTGTGTGTGTGTGTGTATGTATGTGTGTGTATATATATATATATATATATATATATATATATATATATATATTTTTTTTTTTTTAAAGGCAGAGATTGACAGTGGATTTTTTAAAGAAAAATCATGATTTAACTATATGCTTTCTACATGAAATGCACTTTAGATTCAAAGATAAATAAATTGAAAGTAAAAGGATACAAAGAAATATTCCATGCAACAATAACCAAAAGAAAGCTGCCTTGGCTATGTTAATAATTGACAAAATAGACCTTAAGACAAAAATGTAACTAAAGACAAAGAAATATTTTATAATGATAAAATGATCAATCCATCAGGAAGACAAAGTAATTATAAGCATACATAAACCTCAGTATATACCAAAAAGCAAAAAAGATGAAAAAAACAAATCCCAAGAAATCCTTACAAGTTAGACGAGGAAAACTCTGGAAAGGGAAACCACTCAGGAGCAGCAAGGAGCAAAAGCCCATCGAAAGAAATTATTGCTGATGGGCCTGGCCTCCGTTTGCAGGTGTAGAGCCAGGCAAGCTAAACGCAGAGTGGGCCTGTGGACTTGCCTGCAGACAATGATCTTATTCATCCCAGGCCTGGCCTATAATGGAAAGAAGGATGATTCCTTGAGACAAAAGAACCTGGGAAGCTCCTTGCCTCTGCAAGTTTCAGGCATGAAAACAGGCCCCAGTCTGTCTGTTCCTGTTCCCTTTCAAGTGTTGTGCCAAGAACTGTATGCAGTAAAGGTTACAATGCAGAACTCATCCAGTCATCACTCTGATTGTTTTGTATTGCTTATTTGACTTCACAGAATCTTAAGTTTAATCTGTTTGCTTACTGACCGCCTTTCATTGTCCATTCCTTTTGAACCTAGTGTCCCTCTACTGCCATTAATGCCTGCCTGTCCTGAATCTGGGAAATCATCTCTGGACACACTTATTATCCTTTCTACTTTTAAAAATATATATATATATATTTTATTGATTTTTTTACAGAGAGGAAGAGAGAGGGATAGAGAGTTAGAAACATTGATGAGAGATGTGCCCACCACCAAGGTACATGCCCTTGACTGGAATCAAACCTGGGACCTTTCAGTCTGCAGGCCAACGCTCTATCCACTAAGCCAAACCAGTTTTGGCTATCCTTCCTACTTTTCCTCTTTTAAGATTTAGCTCATGCCTCTTGTCTTTTTGGATACCAGTTCTGTCATAGCATATATTGAGTCACCCTTCTATTTAAGTAGAAAGAAACCAAACTGTTTTCTATCATCTGGTGACAAAACCAAAGACCCTTTTTTAATAGACCTTTACCCAGAGACAGAAATAGGTTTATCCCAACGAAGTTGGCATGTTGGCTGATATGTTTTTCTTTTCTTTGTTCCATTATTTTCTAGGAAGTAAATATTAATAAAATTAGCAAAAAATTACTTTGGAGTATTAGAGAAAATATTTAATTAATACCTCTCAAGTTCCTAATATGTGCTACATTGTTATAAACTAATATAACAGTGGTACTTGTTAGATTAGGTACTTTCATTTTATCGGAAGAGAAGAAACTTCACTCACTGTGTTTGTGAGAAATCTGAGCCCAGAAGGATGGTGAATTGTCTTGAATCTCCTAAGCCTAAGTCTAGTGCTTCTTCCACTGTGCTACAGCTGTGAGCTGGCACAATAGTACTTCTCTGGACTGAGTTCTTCATCAGTTTACACCCTGTGATAAGGAGTCTGGTTCCATTATTTTGTTGTTTGCTGGCAGCTTTTAGGTCTTAACCCTTCCTCTTTCTCTTCTGCCCCACATCTGGACAAGCTGATAGGAAATCCTGGGTGCTCCCTCCTTTGGTCCTGGCAAACCATGGAACTCCCTATCTGTATATGGGAACCCACTCTCTTATCCCACCCAAGGCAGTTTCCATTTTCAGTTCCAACACCCTGATCCGGGACACCCTTCAAGGCAAACCAGCTGGCTCCCACCTGTGCACCAGGCCTCTATCCTATCTAATAAAAGTGTAATATGCAGATTGACCATCACTCCGACACACAATATGGCTGCCCCCATGTGGTCAAAGATCCTGCCCCTATGTGGACACAAGATGGCCGCCACAAGATGGCCAGCAGGGGAGGGTAGTTGGGAGGCTCCACCCTGCAAGGGAGGGCAGTTGGGAGCAATCAAGTCTGCAGGGGAGGGCAGTTAGGGGTGACCAGACTGGCAGAGGAGGGAAGTTGGGGGCAAACAGACTGTCAGGGGGGCAGTTAGACATCAATCAGGCCAACAGAGCAGTGGTTAGGGGGCAATCGGGAATGCAGGAAGGTGAGCAGTTGGGAGCCAGCAGTCCTGGATTGTGAGAGGGATGTCGACTGCCCTGAATAGGCAGTGGGACATCCCTCGAGGAGTCCCATATTGGAAAGGGTGCAGGCCCTCTCCCACCCTCCCCCTTTCTGGTACACAAATTCCATGCACCAGGCCTCTAGTTATAGTATAATATATAATATATAATAATAATATATATAATATATAATAATAATTTTTTTTAACAGATTGGTCAGTGGAGTAGAGGGCCGTTTGGGGGTTTAAGTGAAAAGATGTCTATGAAAGCACTTGTAAACTAGAAACTGCTATAAATAATAACGGTCATTGTTTTCTAAGATGCCAATTCCATTTTATTGTTTTCAGAAATGATCTTCAGGACACAGAAACAAGTCCAACACAGAATCGTCGGACAAGACCAGAAAGTGCAGAGATGGAGCCGAGAAACAAGCGGAATAGGAACTAGCGTGACTTTGGCGACTTTCCCAGGGTAGTGATCCGAATATGGTACTTCTGTTGCCATATAGATTTCATATTTATACCCACATAAGGGTATAAATTCTAAATATTTTTAACCAACTTTTCATTCTTCTGTCTTTTTCAGTGAGGGGGAGGGGGAAGTTACAAAACATCCTCCCTTGGTCAGTTACCTTTTGCTGGGAGTATTTCTCTCAAATCCTGACTTCACACATTCACCAGTTTTGCATAGTACATAGGCTTTTTCTGCAAAGGTTTTTTTTGTTTGGCTTTGTTTCTAGATTTCAAAATGTCCTTAACCCATTCTCCTTCTTTTTCATGGAGAAACCCACTTCAGAAAGGATTCTTCAACTTTTTACTACAGGAGCAGTCGAGGAGTTAAGGCCTCTGTAGAAAGGCAGGATGTCATAACTCACACCCTTGGTGTCAGCATTCTCGGTGTGCAAGTGTGTGCGTGCGTGCGTGCGTGCGTGTGTGTGTGTGTGTGTTGTGTGTGTATGTGTGTTGTGTGTGTATGTGCGCATGCACGCGTGTGCGACTGAATGCCACCAAGCCCGTTATAACAGTTAGTGATGTTTGTTGTCTGAGTTTAAGGTAGTCAGTTGTTAGACCCATGTCTTACACATTATTCAGATGTTAGTCATAAACAATAAATTAAAAACATTGGGCAGTCTTCAGAAATGGCAATGACAAATGGTTATTGTTAGTCTTTCTTTTCACTTGGGTAAATGGAATTTTTAACACTTTGAATCCTAGCCATTAAAAAGAATGCTGCAATAAATGGATTTTGTAAATGACTAGACTCTACATCAATTTAAAATCATGTGCTTGAAACAGTATCTTGAGTATAAGCTACAAATCATCGAAGGGCTTGGTCAGAAAGATCTCTGTGTGAAATGAGCGCCAGTGCCCGTCGCTTCCAGAGTCCCTCAGGCCTGCCTGGCGTCTCCGTCAGTCTTCACCCTCCGCCACCGCCCAGCCCAGATGCATCAGCCTTCCAGTGACAAGCTAGCCAATGTGGCAGTGTTAAGACAGCAAATGTCTGAATGTTCCAGGATGCTTGTGACTTCCGCTTTCCAGACAGTGTCTCCGTGGACTTTGACATTTTGGTATGCTCTCAGGTTTCAGGGTAATGTGTGGAGTCTCTTTATAACTTAGAGTTAAGCGTTCTAACACTTAAATGGCCATTTGTTTTCTTTATGAGTTCCCTGAGCTTCAAGTGATTGCATAATAATTTGTCATAACCATTTAATCTAAAATGGGGGTGGGGAATGTCTGACCCTGCCAAGGCATTAAGGATGAATAAATTAAATGTTTGCCCAAATAATAGGCTAACTTTTAAGTTGATAATGTGTATGGCCCAAGAATGATGTTATAAGTATCCAGATGGCCCTTGGCAGAAGTGAAGCTCCCCACTCCTGACCTAAAATCACGAGTGTGCATTAGGGAAAATAAAGGTGGTATTACCCACTGAATGTGTCGAAGGATCCGAGGGGCAGTGTGTGGGCAATGTCAGACAGCACAGGGCTTAACATCGGTATGATATTTACGCCTGAGTTGCCAGAAATCATGCTAAAAGGAAAAGTGCTTGTATCAGTAAAACGCACATAGTCTGCTATAAATTAAACTGGAAATAATTACTACACTGTTTGCAGCAAAATGAGTTTGCGAGGGAGCAGTGAGAGCCAAGCCACGGAGGCAGGCAGTGAATTCACTCAGGTCATATTTAACTGTCTACGCAGTGAGGTAGCAGCACCATGCTGAGCACTGGCAGTGCAGAGATGACAGCGCCTGTGAGGCTGTTCTCAGTGGGGAAGGGAGGACTAACTTGCTCCCCAGGGGACATTGGGAATGTGTGGAGGTATTTAGCTCTCTCAACTGGGATTGCCACTAGTATCATGGGTAGAGGCCAGGAAAGCTGCTAAATATCCTACAACATAGAGTATTTGCTGGGCTGCCCTAACAAAGTGCCACAGGCCATGTGGCTGAAACAAGAGAATTTCCCCTCACAGTTCTGGAGGGTAGAAGTCTAAGACCAGGTTGTCAGTTGGTTTGGTTTCTGGGAGCCCTCTCTTTGGCTGTCACTGGGTCCTCACATGATCTTTCTTTTTTGTTCTCATATCTGTGTCCTAATCTTCTCCTGTAAGGATACCAGTCAGACTGGACCAGGGCCCATTTGTATAAACTTGCTTTTATCCCAATTACCACTTTAAAGACCCTATCTCCACACACATTCACATCTGAGGGACTGGGGGTCAGGACTTCAATATATGAGTGCCACTGGGGGCAGGGACCCACGACTTAGCCCACTATAAAGAATTATCCATTCATAAAAACGTGGTGCATATATAGAATGGAAAATTGCTCCACCTTAAAAAAGAATGAAATCTTAGCCATTTGCGACAATATGGGTGGACCTGGAAGCTTTTATGCTAAATGGAATAAGTCAGAGAAAGACAAATACCATGTGATTCTCCTTATATGTAGAGTCTAAATGACTAAAAGAACAAACAAAAGAGATGCAATGGACAAACTAATAGTTGCCAGAGGAGAGGGGATAGAGGGACCCACGTGAAAAAGGTGAAGGGATGAAGTACAAGCTGTAGTTACAAAATAGTTATGGGGATGTGAAGTATGCCATAGGGAATACAGACAATAATATTGTAATAACTGTATGGTACCAGGTGGGTACTTGAATTATCGAGGGGATCATTTTTGTAAATTTATTTAAATGTCTAATAAGTATGCTATATATCTGAAACTAATATAAAATAATATTGACTATCAACTGTAATAAACAATTTAAAAAATTATCTGGTTCAAAATGTCCTTGTTGCTGAGATTGAGAAACCTCCTAATGTCAAGGACCTCCCAAGTCTGCTTGAAAAATAAAGGTTAAAGGGCGTTTACTGAGCTCTGGCTGTTAACACTTAGCATACATTTACCACTTACAAATTGAAAGGAGGGTATTTTGGTATTTATTTGAGAATAAGGAATTTAAAGTAAGTGTTAAATCCAGGATTAAAACTGATAAGCTTCTTGCTGAAACCGGTTTGGCTTGGTGGTAGAGCGTTGGTCTGCGGACTGAAAGGTCCCTGGTTCGATTCCGGTCAGGGGCATGTACGTTGGTTGCAGGCACATCCCCGGTAGGAGGTGTGCAAGAGGCAGCTGGTTGATGTTCCTCTCTCATCGACATTTCTAGCTCACTATCTCTCTCCTTTCTTCTCTGTGAAAGATAAATAAAATATATTTACAAAAAAAACAAACTGATAAGCTTCTGATTTCACCTTTTAGTGAAAATAGGATCCTAATCACTAGTTTGTTTTTTGCTTTTACCTCCTCACTCCCCCTTAGGGTATAACAGCTACTGTGGGTGTGTCACCTCACAACAGTGATGCTTATGGTTTGAGGGCACAGGTAAGCTGCTGTACGTAATTTAGAAAGGACAGGTTGAGATGGTTCTAAGTGTCAGCCTATCCTTTCATCCTCTGACCCCTTCTCTTCTTATATCCCTCATTGAGAATCACTGGTCTAGTTGAAAAAGTAATTCACACACATAGGACAATGTGAGTTATATAGAGAGGCTGGTATGGATTTAAAAACTAACATGATAAAGATTCATGTCAACAGGGGTAAACAAATAGAAGAGGACTTTTTCCTTATGGCCCTTGGCCCTGTAGAATGAAGAGAAAACAGCTGTCTAGACCATTCCACTGATAGAGCGACTGTGGATAAAAAGAAAATTGCACTCTGAGTTGTCTTAGATCCAGGGAAAAGCAGAAACAGTAGATTACAAAATCCTTAGCACTGATAAAAATAACAATTGTTTAAATGAGGCACATTTTTTTCCTATTATATGTTTTTATTATAAATAATAAATATATATATAAAAGCCTAAGCGACCAAACAACCAGTTGCTATGATGTGCAGCGACCACCAAGGGGCAGACACAACGCAGGAGCTGCCCCCTGGTGGTCAGTGCGCTCCCACAGCTGACTGGTGGGCGCCAGATGCAGGACTCACGACTGGCCACTGCAGCCTGGAGAACGCAGCAGAGCGGCAGCGAGACTACCGAGCAGCAGCAGCAGGTACAACGGGGTTGGGATTAGCACAAAGTCTCCTGCCATTGCAGGAGTGGCAGGCGGCGTTGGACTGCTGGTTTCTGCCAGATCCACGCAGGCCACACTGAGGGACCCTCTGGTGCACGAATCCATGCACTGGTCTTCTAGTATATATAAAAGCCTAGGCAACTGCTTGACCTGTCATTATGACATGCACTGACCACCAGGGGGCAGACGCTCAGTGCACTCCCACAGCGGGAACTCCACTCAGCTGACCAATGGGCGCCAGCTATGGCGGCACAAGCCTCCTCACTACTGAATGATGGTGGTGGCAGGCGGGGCCAGGATAAACGGACCCAGAGAGGCATCAGCCGGGCTTGGGCTCCTCCCCAGCCGCCTGCCACTTCGTGCACTACTACATCCTTTGGGGGATGTTGGATGGCTTGGCCTGTGGTAATCAGGCCAATACCGGCAGTGCAATATCCCTCGAGAGGTCCTGGATTGCAAGAGGGAGCAGGCCAAGCTGTGGGACCCTATTGGTGCCCGAATCCGTACACTGGGTCTCTAGTTAATTATGAAATTAGAGGGGTATTAAATCAGCCATTAAATTTATTATCATTTTGATAGCCTTTGTTTGGTTTTAGTCTTACGATGTGAAAACAATGAGATTACTTTCCCAATTTACAATGTCCCTTGTAAAAATTTACTTCTCCCTCTTTCTCCTTCCCTCCTTTTTATCCCTTCCCCCCTTTGTATCCCTTCTACCTTACCTTTCCTTTGCTCTCCCCCTTCCCTGTTCTCCATGACTTCCTGTCAAGTAGTGTGCAAAACAAAGACCAAAAAGAGAGATGGACATTAATCGCATAATTACACGAATTACAATTGTGGTAAGTGCAATAAAGCAGAGGTATGTGGCCCTATGAAAACATGCAGGAAAGAGATTTCACTTTGACCATTCTCTCTAGGGAGCTCAGAAGTCAATCCAAGGTGGTAAGGTTAATCTCCATATTCCCTCCATACCCTCTGTGCCCTCCATCCTTAGGAACCTGTGCATGTATCCTCTTTTGGTCCAAAAGACAAAACATTAAAATGCTCATGCAAATAGCTGACTATGTGTTCACTGACTTCACAGCTATGTCAGACAATCTGGACCATCCACACTAAACACACATGGTGCCTTCAGCATTTCATCACATGGCGCTTTCACGGCATTATCTGTGCCCGTTAACGAGCACCACCAATCCTTCCAGATTCCGTTCCACATCGGCACAGTCTCCTGTTCTTGGACATCTAGGTCACTTCCGGTCTTAAATAATAATAGAATTATATTCTTAGGTTAGATTCACAGAAATAGAATTGTTGGAACATTATTGCAATAAAATATATGGTAGGTTTTCAAAACAGAGGACACCAGGATATTAAAATAAATAGACGTTGTTGCTTGGATTTTTAGATAATGGTCATTAAGAAACTTATTGCAACTCTTCAGTGGGAATTTCACAGCAAGTGCAAAAACTCTCATAATGGCTGTTACTTCTGTTAACCATCAAAGCCAACAGTCTAAATTTGAAGGAAACTGAGAAAGACACTTGTATAGTGTTATTAGCAAATAAAGACCAAACGTACTTGGGTGTTTTAATGTTATTGTATCGGGTCTAGTAATAATTAATGTCGTTTTTAAACATTCGTTTAAAATCTTGCTTGGCGTTGACTTGTATTGACATAACCTTCAAACACGTGGTATCTACAGAACGTGTGAAGTGCAATTAACAAGTTTTGCTTGAAAAAGTTTGTGTTTGGTTTGGTTTTTGTTGCAAAACTAGGGCTAAGAAGATGGCGGATGAAGAGCATATTCGGCACTGCATGCTTTACGAGTTCCAATTAGGAAGAAAAGCAAGTGAGGCTGCAAAAAACATCTGTAGTGCTCTTGGTCAAGATGCAGTTAGCGCCAGAAAATGCCAGCGTTGGTTTGAGAAATTTCACGAGGGAAATTTTTCGTTAGATGACAAGAGTGGTCGAGGCCGTGTGTCCAATTTTGATCAAGAAGCTCTTCAAGCTCTTTTGGTGCAAAATCCTCAAATTACCCAACAAGAGCTTGCAACAACTTTAAATTGTTCACAAAAAAACAATTTCCAATCAATTGCGTGCACTTGGCAAAGTCCAAAAGTTTGGAAAATGGGTTCCTCATGAGTTGACCGACAACAACCGTAATCAAAGAGTCACAATTTGCAGTTCGCTCCTCTCTCGTCAAAACCGTTTGCCGTTTTTAGAGCAAATTGTTACCGGAGATGAAGAATGGGTGCTGTATGTTAATTTGAAAAGGCGGCCTCAATGGTTGGACAAAAATGAGGCTCCGCAGCCCACGCCAAAACCTGACTTGCATGCGAAAAAAGTGATGTTGTGTGTTTGGTGGAATTTTAAAGGAATTCTTCATTATGAACTTTTACCATCTAACCAAACCATTACAAGTGCAGTGTATAGTGCCCAATTGGAAAGGTTAGCCCAAGCTTTAAGAGAAAAAGAACCCGCGCTGATTAATCGGAAGGGCGTAATTCTTCACCACGATAATGCACGACCGCATACTGCAAGAATCACTGCTGAAAAACTGCGCCAGTTGGAATGGGAAGTTCTCCCTCAACCTGCATATTCTTCTGATATTGCCCCTTCTGATTACCATTTGTTTCGTTCTTTGCAAAACTTTCTTCTTGGAAAAAAAATTTAATAATGAAGAATGCCTCAAAAATGCATTGACCGAATTTTTTGCATCAAAATCATAAGAATTTTACAACAGAGGGATTGAAATGCTTCCTGAGCGTTGGGCACAAGTAGTAGAAAACAACGGCAACTATATTGTTGATTAAATTTTGTTGTATTGTTTAAATAAATTCGATTTAAAAAAAGTATTAGAAAACGACATTAATTATTACTAGACCTAATATTTAGGAGCTCTGAAGGCAATGGATAGCTGGAAACCCTTTAAAGCAGCTGTCACCAACCGGTGATCTGTGAGGTCCGAGAGGTTGGCGACTACTGCTTTATAGAATTTCACCAGAGAAGGAAACAGATAAAAATACATATTCCAAGAACACACACTTAGTATGTGTGAGAGTGTCTCAGGATGGATTATTAGAAAAAGGACAATCTAGCTTTGTGCAGTTTACAAGAAATGGGCACACAGAAAGTAAAAAGGTAGGAGAAATTCCCAGCAAAGCTAATTAAATGTAGCGATGACTATAACACATTAGCCATGTGCTTTTTTTTTTTTTTTTAATTTCACATCAGCTAGTGAAAACTTGTTATGAGAAACGGGGTTTTGTTTGGACCAGCTTTGAAGAAAGGATACAGTTTGTATTAGCAGGAAGGAGGAGGGAGAATGCCCTCACTGCTGCCCTGGCATTTCCTAAGGGTACTGTGGGCTCCTCTCTTGGTGTTTGGCATGTTG